GGTGAATGCCACAAATTCTCCTAAATCACTCGTACGCACAATTTAAGAACAAATCTGTGCGTACGAACGGTTCTTGCATGAGGCCCAATGTTTATGTGTGTAGACTTTGACAACATGTTTCATGTAGGTTTTGCTGTGTTTCTGCAGCTTTTGAACAGAGATGACTGTCATGATGAAGATTCAGAGTCTTCCAAAGCCAGGAGCCCCCTGCACCTCGCTGTGAGTGCCCAACACACAGACCCAGCAGGCTGCAGTTCTGCTCCTGTTCCTGACGTCTCCTGTTTAAAACCTTTTCATCCACTTCTTGTTGCTGGTAAGCTGCATGATTGTTGTCTCTCGTCAGGCGTACCATGGCCACGCTCAGGCTCTGGAGGTACTGCTGCAGGGTCACAAAGAGGTGGACCAGGGGGACGAAGCAGGGCGGACCCCTCTGGCCCTGGCAGCCCTGCGGGGTCACAGCGATTGTGTCCACACACTTCTCCAGCAGGGGGCGTCRTCGCACTCCGTGGATGCGCAGTATGGACGCACACCTGTACACGTGGCAGGTAGGCTCAGAGGTCCAGCTCTGTCCTGAGAGGTGTCCTACATCCTTTGACCTCTGTGCGTCTCTGTTTCCTCACACAGTGATGAACGGTCATACGTCGTGTGTGCGCCTCCTGTTGGATGAATCGGACAACACGGACCTCATCGATGCTGTCGACTCTCAGGGACAGTGAGTTCTGTTTTTCCACCCTTCCTGTTTTCCTCTCCTCGCTCTGTGTCAGTGGATTCACCGTGTCTTCTCCCTCTGCAGGACTCCTCTGATGCTGGCAGTGGCCGGAGGTCATGTTGATGCTGTGTCGCTGCTGCTGGAGCGTGAGGCCAGTGTCAACTTGGCTGACAGCCACGGCCTGACTGCGCTGCACCTCGGGGTGAGCCTTTAACAAACACTTTTATAAGTCTCTAGTTTGTAGTCAGTGTGCATTGCCAATGCAATGCACACTATTGTGATTCGATTCATCCAAGTCATCTCAACTTTGGCACGCTACTACTCCTGCATACTTTGTCCTAGAGCTGCCATTGTAATTTATATCTGTAAAGCTCCTGTGCCAAATGATGGCTTTGCCTTTTGGTACATGTAAAAATTATACTTTATGTAATATTAATGTTTAATAAATTATAATGGCAGTCAATGGAGCCTTGTATTGGTCCAATACTGCCCCCTGCTGCATCTACACAATATGGTACTGCACCATAGCTTAATAATATTTAAACTCATCTCAGTAGTTCAGTGTTTACGATACTAATATGATTGTATTTTGATGTTTTACTATAATATCGTCTTAATACTGCTCTATTTTTGTAATATTATGCAGTTTAGTGTCAATAATTGTATTGGCAAGGTAAACTCTTTCTGCATGCACACAATCCAAGCCCTGGGATTCTCCCACAGCTCCTATAGTGTCATGGTGAACACTGTGGGCTTTCATGCAGGAGATCAGGGTTCAATCCCAGTTATGATCAAACTATTTCAGTAAAACTACATATTTTCAGATTCATATATCGTCACACAATTATGCTCATTACAAACACCTGCTGACTTGGCAGGTGTTTGACTGATAATAATTAGAAAACACTTTTGAACTTGGTCACGTTTCATTCTGCAAGTCCAATGCTGCAGGCAAAGACATGCTACGTGGCAATGCACACTTGTTTTTACATCGTAAAAACCCATGTCTAGTTTGTTCTGTGGGCTTTATAGCCTGGTAAAAACCAGACCCTTGTCCTTCACTTTGCTTCATAAGAGGGTCTGGACTCTCGGCTGTAGAGATGTGATTCTTGCTGGAGGCGTGGCCTCTGCTGAAGTTTAAAATGATTGGATCAGTTGGCTGTGATGTTTGTAGCCAGCTCCAATGTGAAGGAGGCTAAGGTAAGAAGCTAACCAGAAATCGCGTGCGCTGTAAATAGGGATGGGTACCTTTGACGTTTGAATCGATTTGGTACCAATATCCGGTACCTGGGAATCGGTACCGGTACTTAACGGTACCAGTTTTCGGTACTTTGTGTGTGTGTGTTTTTTCAATAACAAACTTTTTTTTTATTTAACATATTTCTCAATATATAAAATTAACAAATATCAAGATAACATCCAACTCTTTATAATGTAACATCAGTTGTTTAACTTATTTCTTTAAAGTGAAAACTCTTGAAAACAACAAGACTGTTTTGTCTTATTGCACAAATTAAAATCCAGCTCCACGTGTTTCTATTGATGTCATTTCCCCGCTAGAAAAATGTGTGATGGAGGTCAATGGAAGGCAAATAAGTTTAAATCAAATAAGCAAAAGAAGATGGAGTTAAAATAAATAAAAGTTATTCAAGCTACATTTTGAACATCCAAAATGCATCCAACACTTTAAAGTTAGCTGCTTGTGCTCTTTAGGTCAGACGAGCTCGGACTTTCGGGAAGCGCCTCTGTTGTTTTCCTCTGCCGGTCTCTGTTTAATGGTGGATGAAATAAAGAAAGTGGTGGTACTTTATTTACTTTGAGCAAGCGAACGTTGTGTTCAGCAGATAATTAATCCACCAGATAATTCAGAGGCGGTCTGTTCGGTGACTTTTACTCCAGGAGCTGCGAGGCTTTCAAGCTACGTTCAGACCGAGCTCTGCTGCCTCTGATTACTGAACCAGCAGCTGCTGACATCATTACGCTTTAGCGTGATGCTGCGTTCAGGACAAGCATGGAAAACTCACCACTCTTACGCCAATACGGTCGCAATGCTGCGTTCAGGACAAGCATGGAAAACTCACCACTCTTACGCCAAACCGGTCGCAATGATGCGTTTAGGTACCGAAACATGATACCATTTGATGTTACGTGAATAAATACTCAGTAGTACCGACAGAATTTGGTCTTTACATCAAAAAGCATCGAATTCGGTACCCATCCCTAGCTCTAAACAACCCTACTGAGAGGAGAAATATACCGAGCCGAACAAGACGACTGTAAATGAGAGCTGCTGCTTTGTCAGACAAATTTAATTTAATTTGGAAGCCTTATCAACACGGACTGGCTTCATTCACTTCCTCCACTGCCGTGTGCTAAAATAACTAGCAGACACTGCGCAGAAAATCGACGTTCAGTCCTCTGATTGGCCCAAATGAAATTCTCCTGAAGAAATCCTTGTTATGGGAGAAATCCCAGCACAGCAGTGAAGAGAAACTAGAATTGAGCAGAACTGTAGGAAAGTGAGGGCCAGGCTATGGGCTTTGTGGATTCTGTGACTTCTTCATCGTACATTCAGCTTCGTCATCCATTCCAGTWAGGGCTGTCCTGAAAGAACTTTATCATTTCCGATACGATTTCAATATTGCAGCCTTGAGTACTGTCCAATACCAATATCGACACAAAATGTCTGAATCAGGTTAAACAGTAAACAATAGTCAACAACAACAGACTGATCCCATTTATTATGATCCAATCAGTTACATATTTTTCAAACTTTGTATTGTACAATTAAATACAATAAATCAATAATAAAATGGAAGACCCTAAAACATTACTTAAATAAATCCAATAAAAACAAAATATACTTTTAAAATGTAAAATAACTATTTAAGGATGCTTCAGTTATTTATGATGCATCCAAGTACTGCTGAGTGGACTGCTTATCAAGGTTATAATAGTTTTTGGGTTTTTCATTATAGTTTTATTTTATTTCGTTTTGACTTTTTTCTTTTATTTCTATTAGTTTTAATTTGTTTTTACAGTGGATTTGCTAGTTTTTATTAGTTATTATTGCATTTTAAATGCTTAGTTTTAGTTTAGTTTTTATTAGTTCTAGTATTAGTTTTTTTTATAGATTGAATAAACATATTTGCCAATGCATGAAGCTTGTGATGTTCCTGYGAGTTAACTAACCAACAGCTATTTGGTCACTATTTAAATCAGTCCATTATAGAGACAACTTCCTAAAATAATTGCGTAACTCAATTTTGCCAACAAAGGTCTTTAAGGCAATTATTTTAGGACGATGATAATAATTGTCTCTAACCCGGTGCGACCTGATGCTTGTTTTTCACAGGAGCTACTGAGAGACTTTTGCGAGTCAACATAGTCATAGTTAGACATCTTGTGTGAGTTTGATTCATGCAGTTTTTCACTTCAGAAGTATTCCACCTGTTTTATCACCCGTTTCCACTACAAGACACTTGCTTTTATGTTTCTCTCAGTCATATTAAAAGAAATCCCAAAGTTGACATTTAGATGTTTTTATTTATTTTAGTTAACTAAAATGTTTTTTCAATTTCAGTTTTTTGTTATTTGGTTAGTTTTAGTTAACTATAATAACCCTGCTGCTGATATCAGTGACTCTGGATGCAGGCTGATAGAATTCAATAATATATCTTTGACTAATATCGGACCGATATATCTGATATTGGAATCGGATCAGGACAGTGTTCAAACCTTGGACTCGTTCAGGACGGTGCAGCTGGGATGTTGGGTTTAGCACACGCTGCAGTTGTTTTTTTCACCTGTTGTGACCTGAACGCTGTTTGTCCAGCTGCTGTGTGGTCAGGAGGAATGCATCCAGTGTTTGATGGAGCAGGAGGCCTCGGTTCTGCTTGGTGACAGTCGGGGTCGCACGGCCATCCACCTGGCCGCCGCCCGAGGCCACGCCGCCTGCCTCAGCGAGCTGCTGGGCATCGCCTGCTCCGAGTCGCCATCTCTGCCACCTCTGAGGGACCACAGCGGGTACACACCACTGCACTGGGCCTGCTACTACGGTCAGAAGCAACACACGCCTCAGACACTATGTACACACAGGTAGATGGTTGTATTGCCGCTTGCTGAAAGGCACTGGCAGAGTAAGGATTGTGTCTGTCTGTTAGCAAAATATCCACAATACAAACTTTAATGAAACGTTCAGGAAATAATCACTGCATGAATCTACAACTAACTAACTTTGGAGTCAGTCAAATTCAAGATGGCCACCCCGATTAATCCGCATTAGTCAGCACCAACAGAGCTATAACTGAAAATGTGATGTAGGAGTAGCTGCGAGTCGTTTACAACAAAGATTCTTAACCTATGGGTCACGAGCGCCACCTTGAGGGCCTCAAAAGAACAACAGTTTTTAACTTAGGGCCGCAGAGGGCCGTGGGACCGCATTGATTTTGAATAAGGTGCAATACACTTTCTCACCACTAGTAGCAGTAGTGCACCACTCAGATGTTTAACGACTTTTTAATATGTAGAAGAAAAACCTTAGAAACCTGCCGAGAATGGAAATTTATTTTAAATGAAAAGTAGAAGCAAAAATGAAAGTAACTCATCAAAAAAGACCAAAGTTTGTCACTAATATGCCCACAATTTTATTTTTTGAATTGTCTATTTTTTTATTGTTTATATTAAAAATATATACAGGTGCTGGTCATAAAATTAGAATATCATGAAAAAGTAGATTTATTTCAGTAATTC